GGTGGGGGGAGGCTACAGCAGCCCTCCCTTCCCTTCCACAATGCTGAATTGAGGGGGACATGGTCAGGCCGCAGCAGGACACTCTGATTAGGTAGGGGTTCCCCCCCCACCCTTGGTAACAGAGCATTTATCAGCTCTGTTGTCAGCATTTAACAACCCATCAGAAAACAAACTCCCTCTCATTAGTTCAAGCTCTTCTTAAACAACTTTTTTGCAAGGAAGGGAACACTCCAAGTGTTCATTAGCTATCTACCTGTTCATTAGCTCCAAAACGTTCTAAAGACACTGTCCTGTCTGCCTTACACAGACAACTCTCAGCATTAGCTAGCATAACACATGCTGGCTACTGTCCGTGCTATGGGAGGGGGGAGGGAGGGATCCCTGCTTGAGCAGTGAGCAGCAAGGTGGGGTTGGGAGCAGGAGGAAGCCAGGCAGATTCTTTGTGCCTGCAAGTCTCAGCTGGAGCTCCAGCAAGGGAGCAGAGGGGAGGGGGCAGCCCTGCTCTGGAGCAGAGAGCCCCGCCCAGACCAGAGAGCATGCCAGGATGCTGGGGGAGTCTGTTTTAACTTAAACCAGGAAGGGGTCAGGGACAGACATTGCATAAACCAATTTGATCCAAATCAAGTTAAGTGTGATATTACATTCAACCAGATTTATCTCAAACCAGTTTCAGCCATTTTCAAACTAGTTTATGTGCACTGAATGTCTGTTCTGTTACAGGTTTGCACCAGTTTCTGATCACTTAAACTGGTTTATGTGTAATGTCTGTCCCTAGTCTGAAAGAAGTATGTATGTTTCTTTGGAATCAGATTTTTCTTGCATAGCAGTCACATAAGGCTTTTCATCTCCAACATGGGAAAGTTATGCATCTCTAACAGGGTGAAAGAGGATCACTCTCCCAAGGCTAGATTCATACTTTTGGGGACCTATGATAGCCATGACTTAAGCATGATAGAGGTTGAATGGGACCAGGGCCATAATGTATAATTGTTGTTCTTAAAAAGGAAGTAGCTGATTAGTATATAAACATGTTTGTTTTGTATTCACTTGCCACTGTTTTCTCTCTAGAGATATTCTTTTACTATGATTCCAATAATTATAATTGCTTGGGTCAAAAGCATTTGACAGTTATAAACTATGATATAGTATTTGATATATGCTTATACTTTATTTAAAATCCTGATTCCCATGAAGCAACATTTCTAAAAAACTTGTGAAAGTACTCTTGAAACCAGGCTTCCAAAGAATATTAGTGGTAAATCTATGAGATATTATACCTTTGTGGAACAATTACAATTTTATAGCCTCTTAGCAATTTAGAATTTAACTTTTTTTTAACTTCACATTTTTAGACAGGGGGTGCAGTGATACTTTCTTTGATCATCTAACTGTTTAATAGTGTTAAATAAAAAGAATTCTAATGAAGAATGAGTAGGTATCAGCTCCCAGACTACTGCACCTGGCAGCACAGTTTGGGGAGGAGGTGATCAGCTGGAAGTGGTGAAAGAACAAGTTAGGGACTATTTAGAAAAGCTGGATGTGTACAAGTCCACAGGGATAAATGTGATGCACACAGGGTGCTGAGGGAATTGGCCACTGTGACTGCAGAGCTGCTGACTACTATCTTTGAAAACTTGTGGTGATCAGGAAAGGTCCCAGATGATTGAGAAAGTGAACTACAGACTGGTCAGCCTCATCTTAGTCCCTGGAAAAATCTTGGAGCAGGTCCTCAAGGAATCCATTTCTAAGTACTTGGAGGTGAAGAAGGTGATTAGGAATAATCAGCATGAACTCACCAAGGGTAAGTCATGCCTGACCAACCTGATTGCCTTCTACGATGAGATGACTGGCTCTGTGGATGCAGGGAAAGCAGTGAATGTGATATACCTTGACTTTAGCAAGGCTTTTGATGTGATCTCCCATAACATTCTTGCAAGCAAGCTAAAGAAGTACAGGTTAGATGAACAGACTGTGAAGTAGATAGAAAACTGCTTGGATCATTGGCTCAGAGGGTAGCCATGGATCAGTGGCTGTGTCTGGTTGGCAACAGGTATCAAGTGGAGTGTCTCAGGAGTTGGTCTTGGGGCCAGTTTTGTTCAATATCTTTATCAGTGGTACGGAAGATGGGATGGAGTGCACCCTCAGCAGTTTGTGGATGACACCAAGCTGGGGAGACTAGTAGATATTAGGGCTATGCAAAGCTTTGGTCACTGATTCAATTCAGTGGAGATTTGGCCCGATTTGGTGGCTGAATCTCCAAATCTGAATTAAATCAGGAGACTGGCTAGCCACAGTGCCAGTTTCCCCACTTGCCTTTAGGCAGGCCACCCACCTGACTCACCTGTCACACCTTGTTGTTAATTACTTAGGATATTAATTAAGGTGGGAGTCTGCCCATTCTTGCCCCGATGCCAGGGGGTCCTATCTGCTGCTCCATTCCTCCCCTACACCGCAGCCCAAGCCTCACAGATGGCATCCAGATGACACAGTGCTCCTGTCCTACAGCCAGAACAAGCTTAGGCCTCATCAGGCCTCAGACACAGTCACATTCATACTGCCCTCCTCTCACTAGGGCCTCTCACATTCCACCCTCTCTCACAGGGTCTCTTTCATGCGTCAACAACTTATACTGCCTTGCTCCCTCTTGGAGCCCCTTAGGCCATAGGCTTTAGCTATCTCATACCTTGGGTGGCAGACATACCATCTTTTGGGTCTTTCCCGTGACCCTTACTGGGGTCGTGGCCAGCCAGTTACCCAACCAGGTCTAAGCTTGCTCTGGCCCCTCCCAGGGCAGCTCTGTACACTCAAACATACTGGGCTCCCAGCCCTATGGTTCTTCCCCCCCACCGGGGTCCCTCCTCTCTGCTCCCATTCTAGGGCCGCCTCTTACCGGGCGTTCTTCACCCACAACACAACTGGTGGTCCGGGTCTCAAGGGGACTCTCACTCCCCCCCAGAGCAGCAGGTCATTGTGCTCAGCTATAGGTCTTACTTTTGACCCAGACTCGGCCTCCCAGTGGTGGAGGACTTACCGGGGTCAGGACTCACCCCTCTCTCTTGGACTGAGCCCTCTTATTTGGCCTCTGGCCCAAACTACAGCCTCAGGCATCCAAAGACATACTTTGGCCTACTCCCATCACCTGGGGCCGCCCCCTTCACTGGAGCTCCTCATTGCCACCCCCTTCACTGGGGCCATGGGGCTTCCCTCCCCGGTGGGCTCAGGTGGCCATAGCCATGCCTGGCCCCAACTACCCTTCCTCGGGGTCCTACACCCCACAAGGCTCGGGTGGCCGAAGCCATGCCTGGTCCGCATTCTCACTCCAACAGTGTCCTGCCACAGACCCTTTAATCTCTTGAAATCAAATCTGAACCCTCCAAATCAATTCTGAGAGATTTAATGATCTGGACATAGACACAGCTTTATATGTTTTTTCTACATATCTCAAGGTACCAGGGAGCTTGTGAACTCTGAGATGGTGGGGTGGATGGAGTGTCCCATGGGAGCATGGGGGGGTCCCCAGCATGCTTGGTGGTGGACTTGGAAGTGGACCAGAAGCAGTTCTGGTCCACTTCTGGGTCCACCGCAGAGTATGCAGGGGAGCGCCCCCCTTCCCCCCGCGGCTCAGCGACTGGGTTTAGTCCCCCTGGGGCCAATTGCTGAGCTGGGGGGGTGGAGGGGGCATGTTCCTGTGGGATGCTTCATCTGCCCCACCATCTCAGGGTTCATGAACCGTGCCTGGTACCTCGAGGTATGTAGAAAAAACATTAAAAACTGTGTCTATGGCCAAATTCCTGATTCTCTGATTCAGAATTGAATCTTCAGATTTGGATTTGGCGAAATTGAATTGGGACAGTGTTCTGACCCAGCAAATCGAACCACTGCCCCCTAAATCGGGCCGAATCCAAATCTGAATCGAATATGGCCTGCTTCGCACATGCCTAGTAGGTATGCTGGAGGGTAGGTCTAGGATTCAGAGACCTAGAAAAATTGGAGGATTGGACCAAAAGAAATCTCATGAGGTTCAATAAGGACAAGTGCAAAGTCCTGCAATTAGGATGGAGCAATTCCATGCACTGTTAGAGACTAAGGATTGACTGGCTAAGTAGCAGCTCTGCAAAATGGGTTCGGGGGGTTAAAGTGGATAATAAGCTCAATATGAACCAACAATGTGCCCTTGTTGTGAAGAAGAATAACAGCATACTGGGCTGCATTAGTAGAGTGTTGCCAGCAGATCCAGGGAAGTGATTATTCTCCTCTGTTCGGCATTGGTGAGACCACATCTGGAGTACTGTCTGGTTTTGGGCCCCTCACTATAGAAAGGATGTGAAAAAATTAGAGTCCACCATAGGGCAGTGATAATGCGGGGGTGGGGGAGGCACGGGTTATGAGGAGAGGCTGAGGGAACTGGGCTTATTTAGTTTGGAGAAGAAAAGACTGAGATGGGATTTAATAACAGCCTTCAACTACCTGATGGGTGGTTCCAAAGAGGATGGAACTAGACTCAGTGCTGGCAGATTACAGAACTAGGAGCAATGGTTTCAAGTTAGGTTAGATGTTAGGAAAAACTCTCTCACTGGAACAGGTTACCCAGACAGGTGGTGGAATCTTCATACTTGGAGGTGTTTAAGACCTCGCTAGACAAAGCCTTGGCTGGGATGACATAGGTGGAGATGCTTCTGCTTTGAGCAGGGGGTTGGATGAGCTGACCTCCTGAAGTCCCTTCCAGCCCTAATTTTCTATGATTTCATGATTCTTTAATTCTATACTCAGTACTTAAGTGCTTTCTTGAATGGTTCATAACAATTGACATGTTTACAAAAATAAAAATAATTTAATAAGCATTATAATGTAAGATTTATCTAAAGAATTCCAAAAGAAAATAATTTTGATCTATATTTTTACTTTCAACACATTAAAAAAATTCTCTCTTTTTTTTGCCAAGGGACTTGCACTGAAACACAAAATCTTCATTTGACATACTTGTTTTTTTTTTTATTCAGGATGAATCAATGAGACTTATCTCAGAAGGGTGTTCAGCTCTCCTATATTTAAATTTGTCATACACTGATATTACCAACGGGACACTAAGAGTTTTGTCAAGGTAAAATATTCTTTGCCAACATTTAGATCAGTTTATAGTCGCAGTCATTTGTACTGTATGCAGGTGTGAATTTTAGTTTCCCTACTGCAACAAACTTTGCATAAGACAGATATAGTATATGCTCTGTTATCTGGCATCCCCTGGGAATGGGGGATGCTGGTTAATCAAATATTCCGGTTAATCAAATGTGCACCGTCTGGTACACTTCCTGGCATCAGTGTGCTAGGGGGACAGGGAGGGGGCCCCCGTGTAGGCTGCTTTTTCCCATGCAGGCTGCTTTGCCCTGGGCCATGGGCCGTGGGCCGAAAAATTGGCGAAGAAAAACTCAGCTCGTGGTCGCAAAATGGGAAGTCCTCCAGAAGTGGTATTTCCAGTTTTGCTTTTGCCACATTGCTTGGATGGCGGTTAATAGAGTTTTCCAACTAATAAAGTGCCGGTTAACACAGCTTTTACTGTATGTAGAAGTAGCTTGGAAGATTTTACAGGATTCTGTTTGTTTTGTAAAAAATGAAAATATGCCTTGTATATTTTGCTTACCATTTTTTTGCTCTGATGGTCTTTCTAGTAAAATAAAATATTTAGACTGGCTCACTTCATATATCTTGTTATATTTACAGAAACTTTTGAAGGAGTTTGCTAGTCAAACAAAATTCCTTTGGCCATCCAAGTTGCTTATCATGGAACAACTGCAGATTGTCTTGCAAATTAGATATGTTTATGAAAATCACTTTTTGTAATACATTATTAGTTAAAAAGTAACAACTTCCTGGGATCTTAATCACAATAAGCATTATATTGCTTCTGAAGGACAAAAGAAAAGAGCATACAGTGAATCTGCAACATTGATCTAAAACATTGACACCCCACCTTCTAGCCCCAAAGGCTGGATGACTGGCTCAGGGTCAGTCCAAAAGATCCCACATGGGGTCAGTCCATGGGTGTGACCTCACATGTTGGACCCAGCCACACATTAGCTAAACTCCATGTGCTTGGATTGGGCTGAGTGTTGGCCTGACCCCACATCCAGCTGCACACTGGACCGATCCTGTGTGCCTTGATCTATCATGCAGGGCTATGTCTTCTGGCTCATCAGGTTCTCTACAGGTCTGGAAAATTGGCAACAGGGGAGTGGCAATTAATGCTGCCACCACTCCCATGCTGCCAAATTCTAGACTCTTGTGGATTCCTGTAGGTCAGATATGGCTTGTGGGCCAGCAGGTGAGCACCCTGGTCTAAAATATGAAACTAGGCTGTGTATTTTAGGAACTGATAATATTGCAAATAGTGTATGGAAAAAGAAATTGTCAGTACACATCCTAAGCCAAATACAAATGTATTAGAAGCATTCAGCTCCTGAAAAAACCCCACTTGTATCCCTCACATATCACATCAACAGGGATCCTGTTTTTTGTTTAAAAATTCAAAATTCTCTAATTAAACACCCCAGAATCCACGTTTTTCCCCAATTAAAATGAAACGCCACTATATTCATAGGTATCAGTTGAACACAACGTTTTATTGATATATTTACAATTTTAAAGCAGTTTGGAATTCTACCAGTGCCTCAGTCATTATAATAAAAATAAATTCCAAATACCCATATATTTTGGCATTTGATTTTAGTTTTTTAGCATAGAAAATCAGAGCTTCCCCTGCCTTTGCTCACCAGGAAGAGGGTCCCATGCATCTGATCAGCCTCCTCCAGCTCCTCCAGCTACCCCCAGACCCAAATAGCCCCTTGCTGGCTGGATGCTGTGCCAAAGCGGGGCTCCCCGCCTAGCCATAGTGCTAGGCTCCCCACTTGCCTTTGGGCACGCCACCCACCTGACTCGCCTGCCAAGGCAGGAGGCTGCTCATTTTATGCCCCGAGGCCAGGGGGCGCTATCTGTGGCTCCAAACCTCCCCTACACTGCAAACCATGCCTCGCAGATGGCATGCAGATGTTTACAGTGCTCCTGGCCTACAGCTGGAGCAAGCTTAGGCCATGCTGTCAGGCCTCAGTCACATGCACATTCATACCACCCGCCTCTCACTCAGGTCTCTCACACTTGCTCATAGGGTTTCTTTCATCCATCACCAACTTATGCTGCCTTGCTCCCTCTTGGAGCAGGCCCCTTAGGCCATAGGCTTAGCTAGTCCATCCCTTGGGTGGAAGATGTACTGTCTTTTGGGCCTCTCCCACAACCCTCACTGGGGTAGTGGCCAGTCAATTACCCGACCGGGTCTAAGCATGCTCCGGCCCCTTCCGGGATAACACTATGCACACGCACACACACACACACACACACACACACACACACACACACACACACACACACACACACACTAGGCCCTCAGCCCTCTGGTTCTTCTCCTCCTTTACTGGGGCTCCCCATCTCCACCCCCTCTCTGGGGTTCCACACTGCCCCCTTCACTCAGGGCTACTCATCCCTACCCCCCTCACTCGGGGCCACGGGGCTTCTCTCCCCGGTGGTGTCAGGTTGCCGCAGCCATGCCTGGCCTGCACTCCCTCCTCAGCATCTTCCTTGGGGTCTTGTACCCCACAGGGCTCAGGTGGCCACAGCCATGCCTGGCTCCAGCTTTCCCTCTCAGGGCTTGCACCCTAACAGGGCTCAGGTGGCCGCAGCTGTGCCTGGCACCACACTCCCTCCTCGGGATCTTGCACCTCACAGGGCTAAGGTGGCTGTAGCCATGCCTGGCCCCAACTGCTTCCAGTGTTACCTAAACTCACCCAAAGGTGAGGGCTAGGGTTAAGGCACCCCTACCTGTCTTTCACCAGGGTGGTAACTGGCTTGGGGGCTCTTGCGCCACTGAGAGCCCCACCAGCCCACCCATTCCCAGCAGGGTGCAGTTTTAGGTCATGCCCAGGACCAGGAGCCTCCAATCTATCCCCTACAGTTCCTGGCTTTACCTCCAGGATGCTATGGATCCTCACAGCCACGCAATGTTGCTATCTGCCAGCCAACAGGGAACTGAGGTGTTTATATAGGCAGCCAGGGATCTAAACTGGCTGCCTCAATCAAGCACCTGCTGGCTGCTTGGCTCTGGTCTTAAAGTGGCAGTCACCCACAGTGACCTGCCACCCATCTTCCCCCTTTAAATGGTACCAGGGGAAGGTTTCCCCTGCTGCTTCTTCAAAACAGGCTCCCCTTTTAGCCTGTGAGAGCCCTCAAGTGGCGAGCACCTGCAAAGGTGCTCCGTCATGATGCTCCCACATTTTTCTCCTTTAAAGGAGAAAAGACATAATTTAAGTCTATATTGTGTCAGGAGAAAAGCCATGATTTTCTACTTTAGGTTAGGAACAGAAATTACACATAAACTGATATAAGTGATCGGAAAGCAGTTCAAGTCTATAACATAACAGAAGTTCAGTCCACGTAAACTGCTTTCAAAGTGGCTGAAACTGGTTTAAGATAAACTGGATATAGAATCAGATATAGTATCAGACTTAACTGATTTAAATTAAACCGGTTTATTGAACTTCTGTCCTAGATCCCTCAAGGAGAAAATCCACATTTTTCCATGGCAAATGGAAAACCCGGATCCCTGCGCATTAGTGATACGTTTGAATGACTTAATGGTTTTGAATGATCTGGAGGCAGTCATGTCCACTCAGCAGTGATATAGAAACTTGATGTAGTAGTTTTAGAATGGAATGATGACCTATTCTTAAAAAATGTGGCCCTTATTTCCTCAACACAGTCAATAAGGAAGGACTTCCCTTGTGGCTGTCCACTTTAAAGTTGTTAATAACATCCTTTAAAAAGTGTATTAGGAGGGGTTTTTTGACTTGTGACTTGAATCTAGCAAAAAACTACTTAAAAAGCATGCAAAATTCCACAGATCTCTTCAACCAGTTCTGGGTCTAGTTTTTCTACAACAGTCATCTTGAGACATATGGAAATGATACTTTGAGGTGTGGCAAAATAAGAAATATCCAAGTGGAAGAGTACTGGGTAGACCTATCAACTAAGTCAAGTACTACTTGGAGGACTGCAAAAGAATGTGGTTGCCAAAGGGTTTCTTGAAAGATTAAATTACTAGAGGCAATAACTACACACTAACCAGTTAAAAAATATATTAAGGTTATAGGTAAATGGTCTTTCCTGTTGTGAATGATATGCATCCATCCACCAGGCTGGAGTTTACTTATAAAAAGAAGAAAAGAAACCAGAGATATTCTTGGAATATGCCATCAGACATCACAGTTAACTTGTTTCTTTCCTTGGAGGCGGTTACATTCTATCTCTTTCTGGGCACTGACAGATGTGCCGCTCACTGGTGTAAATCATGGCACTTTGCAGGAAGCACCATGAGTTTGAGCTGCCCCTGGGACTCAACAGACATTTGCCGTTGGGTCCCAGGGATTGGGAGTTGAGCTGGGCAGCTCCCAGAATGAGCTCACTCCATTCCCTTCCCCCCTTCTCATTCCAAAGACAGTGCAGGGAACAGCACTTGGCTGCATCAGCTGAGCCCTGCTCCCAGCCACACTGATAGACTGCCACCCGTTCGAGCATTTTTTAAGTGCCCTGCAGTTGTGCACTTCTGTCAGTGCACAGCTGTAGAGTGCTTTCAGTGGCTGATCATGCGACACGTGGCTGATCATGCGACAACTGTCACGTCTGTCAACACTCTGTGCTTCTCTCTCTGCCTTGCAGTTGCTCCACAGATTCTTGGAGCCTGTTTTCCTTCATAGAATCATAGAATAGTAGGGCTAGAAATGACCTCCAGAAGTCACCTAGCCCAACACCCTGCCCATCCCTATCCTATCCCATACAAACCATAATCTAAACTCTGTATAAGACTATTGTGAACCCTGACACACCATGGACCTAATATCCTAACCTGCCACAGATAAAGCAGGGGAACAATGGCAGCCGATATCCTGCTTCTATGAAATGATGTCAATATATACTGAAATGATCCTGGGTAGAGGACCATGTCCCCCACCACAGAGGAAGGTAAAAACCCTCACAGTCCATACCAATCCAACTATGGGGTAAAATTATTTCCTGGCTCCAAATAAAGTGATCAGTCTGACTGAGTGGAGGGACAAGACCCTTTAACCAGAAACCTCTAGCTTTGGTCCCATCAGGAACAGTGGCACACTCCAGTCAAAGTCCCCCAGCTTTGGCTGTAGCCAACATGCAGTGCCTCTTAGGAAGGTTTTAACACCCCCCTCCCCCCCGACACACCCTTGGTGCTTTGTATCTTACCTTTTGGGCTTGCAGATTTGCTCTGCACCAGAATGATGCCTTAGTTGTACCAGTCCAGTGTCAGCTTCTCTTTTGCCAATAGAAGCTTTCCATCTGCAGATTCCCACCTTGACCTACTGCATCAGTATTCTTTCTGTGAGAGAATTCTGTGGTTTCTGCAAGTTGGCACATGTGTAGCCTTTTTTTTTAGTTTTAGTTTCTTTGTGTTTAACTTTGGAATAGCTCTTTTAGCGTATCTGCCAGCCTTTATTAGTATGGTTATTTTAGTTTCCTGTTGCCACTAAAAAAAATCAGAGTCAGCTGCTTCTGTTGATTTGTGGGTAGGACCTACCCAGGAGTGAGTACTCCAGTTTGGTAGATTACTCAAAGTTAAAATACCAGAGTTTCATTAATAGTTTACTCCCTATTTGCTTACAAGATTTTTTTTCATAAATGCTACCTGAATGAAACATGGCATCCAACAGTCTTTTTCTGATGATGTATGGGCACAAAAAGTTACCATATTTTTTCCTGAGATTAGCAGGGAACTACCATATTGTGAGGCTTTTGATGATAAACATAATTGGGAAGTATTTCTAGGCATGTTAAAAAGGCAGTTCACAACAGATACTATATTGTTCTCTGAGACAAAGTAATTAATCCAAAAGCCGTGAGAGACAGCAATATATGTACTTTGAAATGCTTTACATACATCTTGCTGCTCTTTATAAAGTTTCATTATTGGAATACCCATCCAAGGGAGTTGCAGTCTTGGTGAACTGAAAGCTGGTAGACCATTTCAGATGCTGGGTGGCAGGGCACTTGGGGTGCCTGCCACTTTAAGAGGTCAGGCAGCCTATGAAGCCTCTGGCAGGTGGGGGCCAGGGCTAATTGGGAGTCATCTGACTCAGGAGGCAGGTTAGGCTTAACACAGGTATAAGCCCAGGCCCTGAGATAAGCCAGCAGTAACATGTTGGAGCCTGCTGCAAGAACACCACCTCAGCAGGATAGGTGCATCTCCAGAAGGTCAACATAGAGAGTAACACCTAAAGCAGTCTAGAGGGTTGGGAAGGAACATAAGGGGAGGAGGAGATTCCTATGGACCCAGAGAGAGGTCTGCAGCCCAGATTGAGGGACTGAGAGTGTGGGACCAGTGAGGGTCCAGGAACCCCAGAAGAGGGGCTAAGTGAAAGAGAACATCAAGGAGGATGCCATTTGTGAGGTGTAGGGAATGGTGTAGGGAAAGAGTGGAGCCATGCAATAAGCCCATAAGACAGGGACCACTGGCACCTGGTGGTCATTTGAGAGCAATTTGGGAAGGCCTGGGGTAGCCTGCCTCATATCAAAGTAAGACATCAAGGTGTAGTGAGTGGCTGAAGGGGTGATTGCTCTGAAAGAGAGGGTTGCAGGCACCTTGCCACATGCTGTTCTTCCACTGCTTCATTACATAACAAAATTTCATTCTCTGTGGTATACAGTTAATATGACTGAGTATGAATGAATATCCGCTTGATAGTTCTCCGATTAAGTTACAGTACAGTTTAGTAGCATACTTGAAGCCTGTCTATTAAGAATAACTATGAGAAGATAATTCTGTCATATTGCTTTAAAACATATTCTTTAGGTTCTTGATGCCAATGATGGAATATGAGTCACAAAAGCCAAGATTGTAGGATTTATGCCAGATTTAGCTATAAAAAAGAACAAGGTTTTAAAGCTATCTGTCTGAAGCTTTAGATGTATGTATGGTTTAATGTATTTCTTTTAAGAAAGCTGCCGCTTTTAAAATAGCAAAAGACAATATACATAGAAACTCACAGATCATAAAAGTAGAGGTAGACGGAGAAAGTGCAGTAACTCAGGAAAGTTGGAGTACCTGCAAGAAGTGTTGATCTTGTAGTATAAGATATTGATTCAGAGTCTGCATAAAAAAATTGAAAAAGAAGCTTTCCCTTTGCTTTCAGCGAACTTTCAGTCCATTAAAACTGTAAGACTTCAAAAATTTCTCTTATTACAATCTTATTCTTAGGAACTGTGCCCAGTGCATGCCCTATGAGAAATAGATAAATAGGGCTGAGCATATCTAGACTCTACTCATTGTTGCAGACTACTCCAAAAAATGCAGAAAAAACTGGGACACCAAAAAGGGATTTGGCAATATCTACCTATTTCTATATTTAATATAGAAACACTTCCTCGTTTAAAAATCTCAGCATTTAATTTTCTTATATCTATTTTGGATTGCTTTATTTGCCTTCTTGTTTTAACCAAGAATTTAATTTTAGCTTTAATTCAACATTTTTAAGCAATGATATTGCCCTTGTCTCTACTACTCTTCAAACCTCCTATGTCTGTTCATTTGCTCAATTTGATTTAACATTGTGGGTCTCCAGTGTAAGTTCAAATCATACAGGCAATTCCCACAACATGTGTCAGTCCTTAAGTAGCCAGCTCCATAAGTGGGTGTTTCTGCCTCCCTTCAAAATGTCTAGTTTTTGCTGACTTGCAAAACTGGCCCCAAAATGTTCTTAGATCTAAATTTCTTACTGAGCAGTATGTTCTAATCCTAATTGCACGTTCTGATTTTTTGCAAGCTTTCATTTCTGGTAACTGTGGTATTGCAATACTTTTATCTCAGTTGAAAATTTAGTTCAATAACATTAGTAGTCTTCAGTATTTCATATACCTAAATTTACATGCAAAAAAAACTTAATATAAATTTAAAATGTAGATTGTAACAATTTGGTTAAAATTTTCCATTTAGCAGTTTGCCATTCTTCCTTTATCTAACATTGGGTGTAAATAATGAACTGTTTTCTAAATATAACTGATTTTAAACTTTATGCAAAAAAGGGTGAATGCTTTGATACATTTGCATCAATTCTGTATCTGTTTCCACTTTCAATTTGTCTAGCATGCTTCAAAACCTGTTAATGGAAACAATAACATGACCAGAGAAGGTTTAACAGTATGTTTTAATTCCTGTATGCTTCTAATAGAAGTCCTTTGATAGAAACCTGGTTTTCATTTCCAACAGGCACAGTTTGTAAAATCAATAGCAAAGTAAGTCCAGCAAGTTTGCTTTCAAAAGTCTGTAGCTTCTAACACATATTTATTTGCATATGATTAAAGATTATAGACCTTAGTACCAGTCTCTCAATTTGCAGGGTTTTTCTTCCAGAGAAGTGTATCAGGAAACACTAGTCTCTTAAACTTCAACCAAGAAAAAAATGTTAGTTAAGACCCTGCAACACTTCTCTATGGTATTTTTATATAGATTTTAGCTATGATATCTGCAATATAATATCTGATTGCACTGAGGTTTTATAACATGCTAATTAACAGTAGGTTTTTTCTCTGTTTTTGTAAAGGAACTTCTCCAATTTACAGCATTTGAGTTTAGCTTACTGCAGAAAATTCACAGACAAAGGCTTACAGTACCTGGGCTCCGGGAAAGGATGTCACAAACTCATCTATTTGGACCTTTCAGGTTGCATTCAGGTTTGCATTTCATTTCTGTCTTTCATGCTGTGAGGAAGGGAATCCTTTAGATAACTGGCTGCACCCTGAAGCACTACAAGCGCTGCAGCAAACTTTCTAGAGGTTTTAAATTACATGACCACAGCTGCTTAGATTTTCCTGAGGAATTGCACTATATGCTGTTGGCTTCGTGCCAACAGCCTGTCAGCTCTATAAACAACCAGTACTTATTGCATAAGGAGCCAGCATTACTTTTGTAGCCTTAAAATAGACTAATTTTTGTATTGTGTGTTTTTGTATGTAACTTCAAGTCCAGAGACTGGAAACTACGTTTTCTTCTAAGATATTAACAAATAAAAGCCTTTGTGGCAAAACTTGTATAGGATTTCCTGAAAAGGAAAACAACTCACCAGTGAACTTTCTAATACTACGTCAGAGTAGCTTCAAATGCAAACTAAAATATTGTGTAATACTACAATCTAAATTGGCCAATATTTGGATATTTTAGTTTTCCATTAAAATTCTTCTGAAAAATGAAATTTAAGCACCAAATATTGAGTATTTCAAAGACTTTCAACTATATGCTGAAGGATCTCTTTAAACGCCCCCCCCACCATAAGTACTGGAATGTAGAGCAGTCGTATGCTGCTAGTGGTTTGACAAAGAGCTTAAACTCCCACTTAAACTGTGATAAAAGTGCATGTGAAAAGACAAGGGGGTTGGGACTGGAGAAATCTACTGGAGTATTTTATCATGTAAACAAACCCTATCTCATGGTCAGGGATGAAGTCAACACAATTGGGCAAAAGTATTAAGCTAGACTTTGCTGTCAGTTTATACTTTGTCTTTGAGAATTATACTTAGTTATTGAAAGTGTACATGGACTTGATGTATAATTTGAAATTAGGGCTGCAAAGGAGGCAATGAAAACTTTACAAGAGTTGGAGAATATCCAATTCTGGACACTTATTGAAAAAACTAATTTATATATTACAGTGGTCAGCCCCTAGCAGAGGGGCCAGGCAATGGGGGTGGGGGATCAGGTTGGCATGGACAAGCCTGAACCTGCACTTACCTGCTTACCTCCTCACAACTTGAGGAACCCTTCAAAATATCTGGAGGGACCTCAGGATGCTGTTTAAGAACCACTGTGCTAGGCATTGCAGAGTCAAGATGTTCTCGTTCATTAGATACATTATTCCATCTCCAGAAGGCATAGTTTAATAGTATGCAGAGAAGGACAATTTCTATTCATAACAAGAAAATCACTCTATTCTTCCCTTCTAAGGTGAAAGAAGTGAGTAAATCAGAGCTCTGAGATGCAGTGCTGCTCCCAGGGACACAACTTGGAACTTCATACTGACTCACCAATAGCTTGTACTTAGTTGGCATAACTGAGCACTTAAGAAATGGTATAGAATATAAAGATGATCAAATATCAATGCTGATGTAATAAAAACCTCATTGGCCCCTCAGCTGACTCGGCAGGTGCTGCTGGCTGAGTCAAACTGCCTGACTCCTTTTCTTGAAATGGATGGGTGCTCAGCCAATGTGGCAGGTGCTGCTGGCTGCCCACCTAGCTTAAGAAGAGGAGCTAGGCAGTTCAGCTCCCACAGTACTAATTCCTCTGATCCCCATGTTTCCTTCTTTAAAATGTGCACCCCAGTTTCCAGCGGCTAAATTTTGGGGGAAAGATGTATGTTGTATTTCTCTAAATATGGTACAGAAAAATGGTATTCAACCTTTTATTTCAGCAGGTCAAGTACTTGCAAATGAGCTGCACCTGGAGTCACCATGCCCCTCCAGTAGGGGAGGGGAGAAGGAAGAGGAGGAGGAGGGAATTGGCTGCCAGTGATAGGTGGGAAGAAGACAGGCACTATTTACTGGAAATAAGCTGTCTAGTGGGGGGACGGCGGAGGGGGGAGGGGAGGGAAAGAACAGAAAAGGCTGTGCAAGGATCAGCCACATGGCACAGGACAGGAAAGGGGACACACTAGGCTGAGCTGCTTGCTGCCGATCACTTATGTCAGGGGCTGGAGATCAGATTACTTCAGGGGCCAGATTAAGCCCATGGGACATAGGCTGAGCACCACTGATACAGAGTATTCTTTATTTCCTCTTTTTTTCTCACTTGTTAGTATAATGGACCTCCTATGGGCTACATGTGACATCAGCCCAAGTATTTTTTTTTGTTTGAGTTTGAGAAGACAACTTTTTGAGTCAAGTTTTACATTGATACAAGTAGTATCACCTCGATAAGAACACTTTGTATAATGGAATTTCAGAATTCTTTATGAACCCTGTTTTTGTAGAAAAAAATAAGTGTTTAAGCTGCAGAGCTCGGATATTTCAGGACTAGTGCTTCAGGAACGACCACAGATAATTTGCTGAATCTTTAGTTGCTGAATTTAGTTTGCTTGTATGTAAGCAATATTCAAATTGTTTTATTTTATCATAAACTCATAGAATTATACAAGATTAAGGTTGGAAGGGACCTCAGGAGGTCATCTAGTCCAACTCCATGCTTAAGGCAGGACAATCCCCAACCATATCATCCCAGCCAAGACTTGGTGTAGGTGGGTCTTAAAAACCTCCAAGGATGAAGATTTCACAACCTCTCTGGGTAACCTGTTCCAGTCATTTACTACCCTCCTACTGAGGGGTTTTCCTAATACCTAACCTAAACTTCCCTTGATGCAACTTCGGACCACTGCTCCTTATTCTGTCATCTGTTACCACTGAGAACACTCTGAACCATCCTCTTTGTAATCATCCTTCAGGTAGTTGAAGGCTGTTGTTAAATTCCCTCTCAGTCTTCTTCAGACTAAATAAGCCCAGTTCCTTCAGCCTCTCCTCATAAGTCATGTTCCCCATCCCCCTAACCGTTTTTGTTGCCCTCTGCTGGCCTTTTTAAAAATTTTTCCACATACTTTCTGTAGTGAGGGGCCCAAAACTGGACACAGTACTCCAGGTGTGGCCTCATTTGTGCCAAACAGAGGGGAATAATCACTTCCCTCAGTCATGGGAATTAACTAGTTAATTAACTAGTTAAAAAGTTAAAGAAATGGCTAACTTTTAACTTTAATTAGTTACATTTTTCAGCTGTCAACTTTTAACTTTAACTAGTTAACTTTAACTTTTTTAAGTATAAGTTAAAAGTTAAAAAAAAAATTGAAATCTGGCTTTCCTGGAGTTTTTCCTGACAGCCACTCTCTAGGACTTGCATGGAATGATATTTCTTTATTGAAACTCTAGGACTTCTTGTTTGAGAGACAGAGAATAGTGTGCCTTCCTATGTGATATAGTCTCTTAAGAACTACAAGTCCCAGAGTTCCTTAGTTCATGCTAGCATTTTCTGTGCATTTGTAGAAGTCAACAGGGCAGCCAGTTGGCTGCGGGAGAGGGAACAAGCACAAGCAAGCAGATACATCAATCCTAGTAAGAGTGGGAGCAAGTGGTGAGGGTGAAGCAGATGATGACTTTTTTAATTTTAATGAAGATCCAAACCAGGGCCCAAGAAGTTGACCCATGAATGGTGCGTGCTCACAGCACCTGGGGGGGAGGAGCATGGCTGAGCCAGCCTTGAGTGGGGAGCTCCCAGCTGCAAGCACTGTTGGTGGTGGGGGAGGAGGGGGGGAAGGATGGTGAGCACTGACCAGGGGTCTGTGACCACCCACAAGCGCTGCAGGCATTGTCGGCGATGGCCAGAGGCGATAGTGGACTGGCCGCAGATGCCGCTGTCAGTGCTGGCGATGGGGTGGTGATCGGTGACTGCCCGCAGGTGCCACCAGCAGTGTCAGTGGTGCCTTTTTGCAGGGGGTGCACTGCCATGAACAGGGGGTGCACGTGCACCTGTGTGCACCCCCTACACATTGTCCCTGAGTTGAGCATTACTTCTCATCTGTGAGAAACTTTTCTGAGATGTCACCTATTATGGAAAAACTATTAATCTGTTATAACACAAGCATTCCCTCATCTGCCCATGTAGAGCAATTGTTCAGTAGCGAGGGCTTAGTTTTGCAAGACAGAAGACGAAAATTGTCAGATGTAAATTTTGAAATGCAGCTTTTGCTGAAGTTCAATAAGCATGTTTAAACAGCTTCTGCTATGCAACTGAACGTTCTTTTTCTCATTTAAACTGATTTTCTCATTTCAGTCTAATTTTGATTTTCAGACACTTTTATTATTTCTAATTCAGATGTATTTCATACCCTTTTGTTACCTTTTTAGCATATAGAAGGGTAACAACAGAGGTTTTCTGTGGAAACAGCTTTCATTTGTCACCTGGCTATGAATATCTCCTTTCTGTTAGTCTGGTATACCTGTATGGTACACTGACTTTTACAAAGTACTTCACCTGGAGAGGGTGAGAAGGATCTCACATTACATAGGTATTGGTATATTGTTATTCTGAAAACTGTATGACAAGTATAACATTGTTTATAGGTACAGCAGGGGGAGTTCCGAGCAAATAAGTATGCTTTTGTGGGTTTATGGAAAGGAAACCTATTAATTGTATTTGAAAATGAAAAATAATACTAAGAGGCAATCCACCATGTTTCATGTATTTCTCGCGAATCAGCTTAACTTTTAACTAGTTATTTTCTTTTTAACTTACCTTTTAACTAGTTGAAAGTGGAAATATTTAACTTCTAACTTAACTCAAGTTAATTTTAAAGGCTGCTTACTTTTAACTTTAGCTAGTTACATTTTTCTTAAACTTTTCCCATGACTGACTTCCCTCGATCTGTTGGCAATGCTCCTACCAATGCAGCCCAGTATGCTGTTAGCCTACTTGGCAACAAGGGCACACTGTTGACTTATATCCAATTTATTGTCTACTATAACCCCCTGGTCCTTTTCTGTAGAGCTGCTGCTTAGCCAGTCAGTCCCCAGCCTGTACCAGTGCATGGGATTGTTCCATCCTAAGTGCAGGACTTTGCACTCTCCTTATTGAACCTCATGAGATTTTTTCTTTTTTTGGTCCAGTCCTTCAATTTGTCAAGGTCTCTCTGAATCCTAACCCTACTCTCCAGTGTATCTG